GGACGGTAGATGTTCGATAGGAAGGAAGGAGCAAACCCCACCAGAGCACCCTCCAACCACCCACACGTATGGGTTAGACACAGACAGCTGCTAGTATGCTGTGGTGGATTTATAATAGTCTTGGTATTAGTATTATCATCGTAATCTGTAACTTAATTCTCGTTGATATAGATGCAGTTTCCCATAGATCAATCAGAGAGAGAGAGAGAGAGAGAGAGAGAGAGAGAGAGAGAGAGAGAGAGACAGACATACAGAGAGACAGATAGAGAGGGGGGATACACAGATAGATATACAGATAGATAGATAGATAGATAGATAGATAGATAGATAGATAGATAGATAGATAGATAGATAGATAGATGGATAGAGGGAGAGAGAGAGAGGAAGAGAGAGAGAGAGAGAGGGGGGAGAGAGAGCTGGAGAGGCAGAGAGTGTGATTTATAGAGAAAGAGAAAGAAATAGAGAATGGAAAAGAACTTAACGTTCTGTTTTGGTATTTTCTGTCTCTTAACTTAAAAAGAAAAACAATAGCCCCGCAATACAAAACAAAACAAAACAAACCCCGAAAAAAAAACCCAGAACAAAACTAGACCTGCCCAAACTTTGGATTTGATTTGGAAACCTCTTGACTTAAGGCAAGCAGTAACAGATTTTTAGTATTTTTTGCTGTTCATGACAACAGTAACAGAATCTTGAAACATGACTACGGTGACATCGAAGGGTCATATAAAGAACATGTTCGAAGATTGTTCTGATTTTCGCAAAAAAATGTGGTCACCATGGCGGCAAATAAGGTGTGCCACGACTCGTCAGTTTTAGGGTAGATCTAATATATTGAGTCATTGGTATCATATTATTTAAGGTTTTTCATTTGCCTTGCATTTGATGAAAAAAATATCCATTTGTCTTGAATAGAAGTCGAGATACTTGCGATTAAAGGAGGTGGGATGGCCTGGTTCCAGTGGTAAAATTGACGATAAAACGGTAACTTCAATAGCTAGAGAGTCATAGAAAACATCCGTTCAAGTAAATCTTCACACTAAGAATTAACAGAGATACAGGCTCTCATCCTGTGACTGACTCCCCCCCCCCCACCTCCCCCCCCCCCACACACACACATTTTCCACTGATTCTGCCATATAAAAGCTATTTAATGTCCCTTCATGCGACAATAAATCGGTTTTAAAACATCCATATTTTACAGAATTCTGTTTTAATGTCCGTTCATGCGACAATAAATCTGTTTTAAAACATCCGTATTTTACAGAATTCTGTTTTAATGTCCCTTCGTGAGACAATAAATCGGTTTTAAAACATCAGTATTTTACAGAATTCTGTTTTAATGTCCCTTCATGAGACAATAAATCGGTTTTAAAACATCAGTATTTTACAGAATTATGTTTAAATGTCCCTTCATGCGACAATAAATCTGTTTTAAAACATCAGTATTTTACAGAATTCTGTTCTAATGTCCTTTCATGCGACAATAAATCTGTTTTAAAACATCGATATTTTACAGAATTCTGTTTTAATGTCCCTTCATGCGACATTAGATCTAAATCTGTTTTAAAACATCGATATTTTACAGAACTCTGTTTTAATGTCCCTTCATGAGACAATAAATCGGTTTTAAAACATCAGTATTTTACAGAATTCTGTATTGTGTCACAATCTGGTGGACTTGAGCGCTCGTCAATATTTGGGCATGTCGAGCAATTGGTCTTATCGAAAAACTGATTTATTTGCCATGCTGTCAAAGAAGATAAAACTCAGCTGTCTTGAATAGAAGTCGAGATATATGCGATTGAAGGAGGTGGGGTGTTTCAGTCAGTGGTAAAATTAGCAATACAACGGTAACTTCCATAGCTAGAGAGTCCCAGAAAACGGAAAATTTACATGTTGTGTACCTTTCACCAACGTTTTTCAGTAAAATTCACATGAAGATGTGTTTTTATATGAACACATATTGAGTCCCCCCCATAAAAAAAAAATTTCTATAGAAATTGCCAGACTGGCAGAAAAATGGCCGTTTGTTCGATTTCAGTATTTTGACGAGTGCTTGATTTTACCACGCTGCCTCACATTTAATGTCCCATATTATGACAATAAATTAAAACTGTTTAAAAAAATAAAATCTCAATATTTTACTGAATTCTGTATTTCAGATTATACCCATGACTTCGTTTCTCATAAAAGCCATCACCAGTCGTGTTTAATATTAGTTTTAGCAAGAGTTTTACAGCACTTGCAACACAATAAGATCGTCCGTCATAGGAGTGCCGAAGATTAGAGATGTTACAAGATAGTTACAAACAGAAAAAAGGGACTAGAGATCAGGGCGATACATGTTTGATGGGAAGGAAAGATTAAGGAGGAAAGATAAGGACAATAGATATTTGATAGGCAGGAAGGAATTCATATATATACGAACAATACTCTTGAGAAAGAGAGAGAAAGAGAGAGAGAGAGAGAGAGAGAGAGAGAGAGAGAGAGAGAGAGAGAGAGAGAGAGAGACAGAGACAGACAGAGAGAGACAGAGAGAGAGACAGAGAGAGACAGAGAGAGACAGAGACAGAGACAGAGAGAGAGAGAGAATATGTGTGTGTGTGTGTGTGTGTGTGTGTGTGTGTGTGTGTGTGTGTGTGTGTGTGTGTGTGTGTGTGTGTAAGTGTGTTTTACGCCAATGGGTTGTTTCAGCACGTGAGACATGTATTTACTAATATCATGTCATGTTTTGTGTATGCGTGAGTGCACCTAACCTTTGTAACATCAACTGCTATTGCAAACAGCCAAGACAAATTTTCCCTTTTGGTGAGACGAATAAAGATTGTCATTGTCATTAATTATGTGACTGTTTTATGAAAGATGCTACTGAAATTGGGCTCTTTTGAAATTTGCCATACATACGGCGTACTTTGCTGTTTTAACAGTTTTTAGTTTGATTGATGGTTATAGAGAGGGATATGAATGGATAAAATCATCATTCCTAGGCAACTGAGAGGAAAACTATGAAATGGTTCCATTCTGTTTTGCACTATTTTTACGGATTGCATAAGAGATCTTATTTCGTAAGATTTTATTATTATAAATACTAGGGTTTCCACATATTTTGAAGAATAGGGTTCCAATTTTGCATGGGTTTTTTACAACTATAAAGCAACATTTTGTCAACATCACGTAATCCCACAGTACCTTACAGTATAACTTTATGCTTTATACTAAAGTAGGTCATGTCATCCTGATTCCTCATACACAAACAAGCAACGAGTGTTTCATTCAGCATAATTACACGGCCGCACACACACCAGATAGCTACCATGAGCTGTCGCCGCAACAAGAACAGGCGATTATCTTCTGTCTTTGAACACAATACACAAGACTGAGACAACACATGTACAGAATGTTTTAAACTAGCACATTCACCAAAATGCCAGTGTGGAGAGGCGGACCAAACTGTTGAACACATCCTTCAGCACTGCAAGACACACAGGGCCCTGAGACAGGAAACGTGGTCAACCCCACCGACGCCACAAGAGAAGCTATACGGGCCGACTGAAGCACAAATGTACTGAGCAGGACGGCCCCATATAATTAATATGATAATAGATAGCATTTGTAAAGCGCAAATTCCCGCTCAACAGCAAGCTCTATGCGCTTCACAATCTATACTATTACTCCAGTAGACCTGAGAGCATTCTGAAACAACCTCAACTTCCTGGGAAGCATACAATGCAAGCAGCCAATTATATGCGCTAAAAAACTAACATACTGACAAGATTTTTCGCTGGCTATGGCCGGGTACCCATTTCCACCTGGATGAAGTGAGGAAAATTCCTGTAAATTTCCTTTCCCAAGGACACAACGTCGGGCCCGCGGCTCGAACCCCCGAACCCGCAACCTCACGATTACGAGGCCGGTAGCCTAACCACTAGGCCACCAACGCCACAATATTTAACAGATACCGGACTTCAAGTGTGATGTGAAAAAGAAAAAGAAGAAGAAGAAGGCACGCAGCAACATATTATCACATGACGATGTCTTTGTGCTCTAACCACGTGACTGGAAGAAATAGGTCAAAGGTCAACTGTTAATTGTGGTTGTTAGATTAGAAGAAATAGGTCAACGGTCAACTGTTAGACTGGAAGAAATAGGTCAACTATTAATTATTGTTGCTGTTGTTAGACCAATACTGAGATGAAGCTGGGAGTTTTTAAATGAAACCCAGGAGTGAACGTATATCATGAACTGTATGATAATAATGATAATAATAATATTAATAATAATAATAATAATAATAATAATAATAATAATAGTAATAATTATAATAATAATAATAATAATAATAATAATAATAACAATAATATATGTAATAATACTAATATGAAAAAATAATAATAACAATAATAATCATAATATAAAAAATAAATAACAATAACAACAGCAATAATAATACAAAAAAGAACAATAATACGTCGAAAAAAAACAAAAATAATAATGATGTTAATGATAACGATAATGGTAATGATAATAAAAAAACCAATAACAATAATAAGAACAATAAGAATAATTGCATTTATTCAGGGCATTTCCATACTTAACAGCACGCTCTACATACACGCTAAGCAACATCTGCTGTTACTGTGCTATTGTGGTGATTTTGTCTCACATCTCATCATTTTAACATTAGGCTTTGTTTTGTTTTGTATTTTATTTTGTATTGTATTGTATTGTATTGGTTATATTGTTTTGCTTTGTATTATACTGTATTGTATTATGTTGTATTGTATTGTTTATATTGTATTGTACTGTATTGTATATATTGTTTTGTATTGTATTGTATTGTTTATATTGTTTTGTATTGTTTTGTATTGTATTGACAGTATTGTATTGTTTATATTGTTTTGTATTGTTTTGTATTGTTTTGTGTTCTTTTGCATTATATTATATTGTATTATACTGCATTGTATTGTATTATATTCTATTGTATTGCATTATATTGTATCATATTGCGCTGTATTGTATTGTATTGCATTGTATTGTATTGTATTGCACTGTATTGTATTTATTTGATGTGTTTTGGTTTGTGTTTTGGAGCTGAAATTTTATTATATCTGGGAAAGCAATAACTAGTTCGGAGCGTAACAATTCGGTGGTGCTAGGCAGAGGTTAGGGTTAGGGTCGGGCTCAGTGAAGGCTGTCCAGGGCCGCGTTAAACCGCAGGATATCGATCAAGGTCATGCCGAACTGTCGCTCCAGGCTGTTGTGGAAGTACTCAGGGGCCTGCAATCACAGGATTGTTAATGATTGTGAGTGATTGTGAGTGATTGTCAGAGATTGTGAATGATTGTAAGAGGTTGTAAATGATAGAAGATGATTGTGAATGATTTAAGAGTTTGTAAATGATAGAAGATGATTGTGAAGGATAGCAAATGATTGAAAAGACACACATACGCACACACATACACACACACACAGACACACACACACATACACACACATACATACACACACATACACACACACAGACACAAACATATGCACACACATACACACACACACAAATACACACACACACACACACACACACACACACACACACACACACACACACACA